ATATTATTCTTACGATTCTAACCTGACACTTTTCCCCTTAAATTAATTTAATGTGTATGTTTAGTATGTTTTCCAGGAGTGCTTGGCCCTGGGATATATATGTCCATTACCACTACAAAGTTTTTAATTCAGTCATTACTTATGTTTGGATAATACGCGCAATAGTTTAGCATAATTTAATATTATTTCAATGCCATTTTTTCAGATTTTTGCATATTACATTATTTGTTGTGTCTTTAGATATAAAAAGATACAGCAAATATTTATGATTAGGTTCATTTTATTGGTATTATTTTATTGTACTAATAGAGCCACTACACATCAGTTTCTCAGCAGCAACTATGGATATAAGTAAATGAAACCAGCGTCTCTTGTGCAAAATGCTTCCGTTGACAAAGCAGCGCATTTTCCCCCAGATGCCACCCATTAGAGCTGTATCCCCTGAAAGCAGCGTAACCGGGACTCGAAAAAGGAAAGAATCCCCGGGGAAAGCGGGAAAACGAGATCTGGGGGCCAGATGTACGCACTCTCTTGGGGCATAATAGCAGCAAACTTACAAGCTCAGCGCTCCCTGGGTTTTGTGAATAGAAAAAAAAATGTATCTGTTTCTCTTTATTCAAATCTTTATTTTAAAGCACGTATTCTTGGCGCGTACTGTTGCTCATTCACAGGCTGTATCTGCATTTCTGTTTACGCTGGTTCCCGTCTCTCACTTGGTCATACTCTTAGGCATAAAGGGTCCTCAGTCCTGGTCAGAACATGGGCAGGATTTTATTCTACCTAAGTACTTAAGTGCTCAATTGAACTAATTAATTCAATGATTAAGTGAACGTAGCTTTCACTCCGTAACAATATCGTTAGTGGTTTGAAGATAGTTGGGACAGCTACGTGTATGCATTGGCCGACCAGAATCACAATGAGGAACATCTGACGTAGCAGAAGTCTTGGTCCACAGCCAGAACCCCCGAGCAAGGCAGTGCTTGTGTAACTCGCTTTTTCGCCTAATGATATTCAGTGTTTGACTTAGACCTGATTGTGCTCAGTTTTGAAGGTGGTAGGTGTTTACTGTACATTCCAGCATTTGTTATCTAAGTGTACCTATGGATGGGCAATACCACTGAGTTTCTTTTCTGTCTGAACTGATACAGTACCAAGGTTGGTATCGTACATACCATCCCTGATTTCGATACTCTAGTGTTTTGTGTGCATCAAATGGAAAATAGAGCTGAACGATATTGAAAAATATTCACAACACAATATTTGAAGGTTTTGCAAGAAATATTGTGATATTTGTAAAACTATAGAAGAGTTGAGATATTTACCAAAAAAAATAACTTTAGCCAAACAGAACTTATATACTGACAGAGTCTGTCAAATAAATTGGTGGTGTTGTCACGAGATTTGACACAAAGACACAAAGCGGTGGCAATAGAGCACTTGCGTTTGCTATTGTCTATACAGAATCCAAAATAGGCCCTATTTCCATAAGGCGGGAGAGGAGTGTCTTTCACTGACTAGTTCTTGTTTGCTTTTTTCCTCCTCCCTCATTTTTGTTAAATCTCTTACAAATGCATCACACTGTCTACAAGTGAGTCCAACAGCACAGACGAAAATTATTGTGAATGGCTCGGAGAACGCGTTTGGGGCTTGAACTAGCAGCACAGAGGCTACAGCAGTATCTTGATTTAATTAGCGACTGGGCTGATACCTGGCAGATGAAATTTAACATAGATAAATGCAAGGTAATCCATGCAGGGAGCACAAGGATAAAATACAGATATTTTATGGGTTCCACTGAAATAAACGTAGCTGATTATGAGAAAGACCTCAGTGTGTATGTTGATGCTTCCATGTCCCACTCTTGCCTATGTGAAGAAACAATTAAAAAGGCCAATTGGATGTTGGGTTACATCTCAAGGTGTGTGGAGTTTAAGTCAAGGGAGGTAATGATAAGAGTATACAATTTGTTGGTAAGATACCACCTAGAATATTGTGTGCAGGTTTGGTCACCATACCTTAAAAAGGACATTGCTGCCTTAGAAAGGGTTCAACATAGGGCTACAAGAACAATTCCTGGTCTTAGAGGAATATCTTATGAGGAGAATCTGTTCAACCTCAAGCAAAAGAGACTGGGGTCTGTTTGGGGGTATGATCCAGGTATATAAGATTCTAACTGGTCTGGATGCTGTTCAACCAAATAGTTACTCCAATATTAGTTCAAATACTATAACTCGTGGTCATAGGTGGAAATTAGCAGGAGAACATTTTAAACTGGATTTGAGAAAGCACTTCTTTACACGGCGTGTAGTTAGAGTATGGAGTAGTCTTCCTGTTAGTGTAGCGCAAGCACCTCGGGTTCCTTTAAATCAGAGCTAGATAAGATTTTAACAACTCTGAGCTATTAATTGAGTTCTCCCCTAATTAGCTTGATGGGCCGAATGGCCTCCTTTCGTTTGTAACCTGTAATGTTCTTATGCAAAAGCAGCATAGGTAAACTTTAAACTGATTTTTAAGCATAGACCCCCATAATCATTGAAACTGCATTACTTATGTTTTGCTTTATAAGTGTGATGTCCCACATGCCCACACAACACAACCAGCTGCTCCAGTCAGTGCCACCTGTACAGTTCCCATTATAAGCCTGTCTGCCCTCACACTCAATGCAAGGTTTTGTTGATTCGATGTCACTACTGAGCGCACTTTCTTGTGTCTTGCATCCAGTCCAGTCCAGTCTAGTCCTGACCTGCCCTTCCTTCCAAGTTGCAGCCCTGCCTCTTCCCCATCTCCATCGGTCCATCCCTGTGTTACTAACTCCTGTCTCCTGTGTTGGTGTAGGACAGACACCCCCAGCTACCGACTGTTTTGAATCCGTCGCCCCGACTCCAAGATCAGCCTGCTGATATAATCTCTGTTTGCCTGTTACCCAAATAAAACTCCAGTTATCCACATTTGGGTCTCTCAGATTGTCTCACTACAAAAAGTTAAAAAAATAATTTAGCTTAACTTACTGATGGTCTCAAACCAGCTGACTATCACAATACTTGTGATATATAAGACAGGCAAATTGGCACATCACTGTAATTTCTATAGTAGTCTATAGCCCAACACTATAGCATACAGCCTATATATCGACTTACATACATTATCAAGTAGAACACCTCATTATGCTAGCAGCTAAAAAACTGACGATTGAACACAGGGGGGGTTAAGGTCCCACATCCCTCTGTCCCCATTCATGATGACAATATGACTATTTAGGGGGGGGTTGTATTGTCTATTCTGATATTATGCTGATTTTCTCTGCCTATTATTTACACCCATGATACTCACATTCCAATGTTCCTATGTTCATCACTTATTTTACTGTATCTTTATTTGTTTCATGTTTATGTTTAAAATGACTACAATCTTTTGCCAAATAATGATACAGAATCTTCTGGTGCACTTTGTTGACTTTCTATTGACCCTGAATATCATAAAGTGGTACTTTTCTACAATTCCGAACACTTTGAATCCTGGAATCATAAAGTAGGATGAAGCCATTCAGAGGAGGGTTTCTCATAATCAGACAGCTTCTTATTTACGCGTGAAACAGGTTTTGAATAGATGTTGAACTGTCAGGAAAGACCCACAAATTAATCACAAATTAAAATTAATTAAAAGCACAAATTAATGTTTTTTTTCCAAATTAAAAACATACACCTGATAATTGCAGCTTTGTTCTTCATTTACAAAAAACACTATCGTAATTAATAATTTTGGGAAATACAGAATATAAATACATAATACAAATTAAATACTAATTATGTCAATTAAGTCAGGGAAATGGTAGGAATTCAAACCAAACCAGGAAGTTATGAGACCACAGTGCAGTAGAATGTTGACGAGAAGTGACTGAGAAAATGAAGTACCTTCAGCTCTGAAGAGGAGATGGCTCACATAGAGCTGCAAAAGAGCTTCCTCAAAAGCAAGTGCTACCCCAGCAGCACAGAGAGGGTCCCTTGTGTGATGTCATAAGGGAACTTCAAAGCTAATACAAGTGTCATTCTAGTGGAGAGAAATATTCTCCTTTCTGGTCCTTCTTAACAACTTCAATCCTTTGCATAACCTTTTATCATATTATATGTTTGCCAGAGGTGGAAAATTCAGGTCCAGAAAGTACAAATCCAGACCAAGGTTTTGTTCCAACCAACCAGTTGAGTACTCCATGAGTGCTACTCTTTGTACTAAACAGGTTGGTTGAAACAAAACCTTGGTCTGGATTTGTACTTTCTGTATCTGAACTTTGCACCTCTTAAGTTTGTACGGCTGCTACCTTGGCCAGGTCTGTCTTGTAAAAAAGATTTAATCTCAATAGGACTTCTTGGTAAAATAAAGGTAAATATGCTTCTGAGTTTGGATTGGGAGTGGAAAGCCTTCATCATTGGTATTTAAAGTCATTAAATTGTCAGTTTGTGGACATTATGGATACATTCACCCTTGTCTGGCTTTACAATGTGTGTCCTGCAAAATCTACTGGGACAATAATTAAACATTTTATTTGTGTTTATTGTCAAGGCTCATTACGAGCACTTCCAGTTTTAAACCAGGTAAGAACTTAAGGCTACATTTCTCCTAATTATGTAAGTGTCCACTTCCTAGAATATTTATTGCATACAGCTAACGTTCCTTTATTATTCCAAAACAATACAATTTTAATTTGACAATCATGCAAATACACAGGATCTGCATTTAAACGAATCCCCACCAACTCTGTTTCCAAAGGAATATAAGCGGATTTGTGTGAACCTTTCATTCTTTAAAATACTAGGCATGGAAGTAATTTTATTTGTGAAGGTACAATAAAGCGGACATGATAATTCTAACAAATGTATTCAAATGGTGTTTAATAATACTAATAAAAGAGAATAACATCTGAATTATTTTACTGCTGAATCTGCTGCTGTGCTATTATCGTTTTTATTATAAATTACGTAATTTTTCCATATTGATTTTTCCCCTTTTTTTTAAATCAAGCGCAGCTCAGGGCGGATCATGTGATTCTCCGATATAAACAATATGGCGGCGCCCTGTGCTGTGAAACGTGCCACAAGAGCAGGTAGCGGGCTTCTCATTCCTGATCGTTTTATGACTAACTTAAAAAAGATTAGTTTTCTAAGTGACATCTCTTCAATGTACATAGTTCCCTTTCAGTTTATTTAAGATAAATCGTCAACTATTCCGACCTTGATACTAAAGAACTTGTTAGCTAGCCGCTCAGTTCAAATACTAGACATACTCGTCTTTGCAAGATAGCTGTTACCAGACTGATAAAGCAGTTTTTGCGGCAGGACCGTTATATGCAAGCGTGCTTTCAAAATGAAGTACATATTTCTGTGTTTAAAACAACGCTTTTAAGACGCAATGACCTTGAAAGCAAATAGCCGCAAAATTGTGTACTGCAAATTAAACAAATAATATAAGCAAAGTAAACATTCAAAACTGACTTATTTGGCACACCTTTCTGTTTCGGAGCAGCCGGTTAATTCGTATGTTTCTTACCTGGCTGAAGACATTAACCTAAATACTTCCTGATCATATATAATTATAAAATAGTATACGGATTAATCTGACGTAATACATAAGTTATGAATTCAACATTACTAGGTGTTGGTTCGGAAATTTTACAGTTAGACAATTAAACAACTTAAGGTTGCCCCATAGAGATATAATATGATGTTTGCCAAATGTAGATATACATTATTATAAAAACGGTGATAAATACAGTGATAATTTTTTAAACAAATAGAATGACCTGTAAATACAATTAGCATCCATTGTAAATTAGTGTAATGTTTGAAGTATTTTGTGGTTTTTAAGGAAAGCACTCTGTTATGATCTGGGAAATGAAATTTTACTGTTAGTAGCATGTATTTACAGCTTCTGCATCATGTTAAATTTCCTTTTTCCTCGGAGAATTGACCCAAAGCCTGGGTGTAAATGAGGTAACAGGATATATAAAGCATATGGGTAAATGCTTATTTTGCTGTTAGCTGGACTATGCTAAGAAGTGGAATGAAATCTATAATGGACTGCATGTTAATTTACCTAGTGAACAAGTCCAGTAATTTAAGTCTGATGGGATTTAGAGAGTCCCTGTTGACCTCTAAGGGAGAGTTCTGTGAGACGTCCTGTATGAGAGGATGGTTAAATTCAGGGACAACAATAAAAAAAAAAGTCATGCATAATGTCTGAATAGCAATTTCAACCGCATCCTATTGTTTAAGGTACTTTGGGCAGTAACAGCGTGTACCCTGCCTCAGGCCCTTGGACGTGACTCAGATTACAGGAGCGTGTCCCAGCCTGTGGCGGGTGTCTGCGGTGGACCTCGCATGGCCAGAGTGGTGGTCTCTCGCTCCAGAGGCAGACTGATACCCTGCCCCTCCCCAGAGAGTCAGGTGTCTGGATGGCTGCGTTCCAGACGACGGCGTCATGCCCCAGTCAAATCGATGTGTGACGGACATCCTTGTGGGCTCCCCCTTGTGGCTGATGCTGCACTCCTGATTCGTCCTGAATGCCACGGGTGCTGAGTGGAGGCTAATGAGAGCCGTTTTGCCTTCCAATTTAAAAGCTCTCCATCGTGGCGAAGTCCCATCAGAGTGCGCATTTTCATAGTCATCTTTGTCCTGGTGCGTGACAGTTGCTTCGTGTATCAATTTACAAAGGGTCCTGGGGTTAATTTTAATACTTCCTCCCTTGCCAAATGTACAGTAAAAAGTTAGCTGGCTCTGTTTTGCATTAATCAGGCTCGTCCCTGTGGTTTTCATTACAGAACCATTTGGGGTCACATCCTGCGGTTCTGGATTGTGAGAAATGTTCTCTGTGGCAAATGCAAGTGAAGGATGTATCTCGGTACCTTTTGCTGTTATTTGAATTCTGCTTTGACCTGATGAAGACCTTGCGTGATGCGGTCTTGACTGCTGACCACAAGGGGGGAGGGCTGGTGGATGGGGGGAGTGTTAGTGACCTAGTAGAGGGCTGCTGATTGGTCACGTGGGTTAGCTGACCTGCGGGATGCTCTCGGCCTGCCGATATGTGTGATGCTGCAGGGTGTGCATGTCTATGTGTGCCTGTCAGTGGGAGGTGTGTGGGCTCAGGGCGGGAGGGACTCTGTGCCCCCCTTGATGTAGATTAGTGCTGTCCTACAGTATTTAGCCTAAGTCCTTTAAAGTCAATATCACTGAACGGACAGAGAATCTATGCCATGCAGCAGAAAGTGGTCCTTCATGCCATTTGTTGGCATTTTTACGTGAAAACCAGCAGTTGTCAGCATCTACCTGTGATTTCCACTGCATCAGCATTACTAAATTTCGAAGTTTGAAATTGATTATAGAGCCCCTCAGTATAAAGTGCAGAGTGCTGGTTGCACCCCCCCCCCCCCCCCAACAGCCAGCCTGGTCACTCATCTGTGGCGATCCCAGCCCACTGCTGGGGATGACAGGCTTTGACTCTGGCTGCCGTGGGAGGTCCGCTGGGCGCATTTTTTGCTTTCGTGAAGATGGACATGTCCTGGCCTTTCTGCCAGCTCAGGGACCGTCACATTCATGGGGAGGGGGGTGAATGGTAGGCATTCTTCTCCTCTGGTTTTGGGTGGCAGGGCTTTTGCAGGATCTGTCATTGTTGTGTGTGTCTGTTCAGTTGTTATGACCCTATTATTTTCCTCTTAACTGGATCTGATGACAAATGCATGGCTACGTTGCACTCGTTACGTGGCTTCATATATATTTATAGATATATAACACAAATGAAAATAGCAGAACTCAACATGGGAAGTAGTGCGATTATTTTATAGCAGTCCTTCAGCTTAAGTAGAAGGTTTTTGATGTCGGCAAGCAGGAACGGCGGCCCTGGTTTTGTCTCGCCTTTCTGGCACGGACTCCTTGCCCGTCTGATACCTGGTGGCGCCGACCCATCCGGCAGCACAGACGGCCGCGGGAAGCAGAGTAAGCAGTTAACGTGATACGGGGGCTGAGGTATCCCAGGAAGTGATAGGGGCTCATTTTGGGGACACCAGCAACCTCCCCCCTCCCAATCACATCGCCTTACTGTGTTACCATGGTGCTCTTTGTGTTACCTTAACTGTCGTATACCCCCCAAATCCAGCCCCATTCTCCCCTATAAAGCCCTTTTCGAAAAATGTTTGATGCCACAGTAGACAAAGGTGAAGACGAAGAGACAGACTTGATATTGTTTGATGACCAATGATATGCTGGTTTTCATCAGCGTGTGTCACCTGACCTTAAAGAGCCAGCTGACTGGGTACATTTATCAACCTGTTGGTCTCCTTCTCCCTATGGCTTAGGGTGCCAGCTCACTTTAACTGCTGAATCAGAATCTGATTTACTGGCCAAGTATGTTAAATCGTACAAAGAATTTGGTTCTGGCTGATGGTGTCTCTCAAGCTAGACAATATTCAGACAATGAACATACAATTTGCAGCCAATGCACAAGCCGTATACAGATTGATACACCATAAGTGACAGCAGCGGTAATGATCAGTACGTATGGGAATGAGCTGTACAGTATTTGTAGATGTGAGGCAGGGTGTAAAGACGAGTACCTGCGACACAGTAGATGGTACCGGTCACCTGTTTACGAGTGTGATGGCATGAGGAAAGAGACCGCTGGTGTGTCCAGTGGTTTTGGTGTGCTGGAGGGGAGGGGCTGGAGAAGGGTGTGTCCAGGTGAGGTATCGGTAATGATTTTCCCGGCCTGTTTCCTGGTTCTTGAAGTGTAGAAGTCCTGGAGGGTGGGCAGAGGCACGCCAGTGATTTTTTTTCTGCTATCCTTACTGGTCACTGCAGTCTGTTCATGTCCTGTTTCACGGCTGCTCTGAACCAGACCGTGGTGGACGTGCGCAGGACAGATTTGATGACTGCGGTGTGCAGCAGCTCCTGTGGCCGGCAGTACCTCTCAGTTGCTGCGGAAAGTACATCCTCCGTTAGGCCTTTTTGAGGATGGAGTCGATGTTGGTCTCCCACTGGATCCCATGATGGATCCCAGAAACCTGAAGGTCTCCATGGTTGACCCAGGGCTGAGGGGAGACAGTGCGGAGGGGTGTCTCCTAAAGCCCACCCTCATCTCCACAGTCTTCAGCGTGTTCAGCTCTAAATTGTTCTGACTGCACCAGTGCACCTGCCTTTCAACCTCCCGTTGATATGCAGACTTGTTGCCATCTTAGGTGACCCATGACCGTAGTGTCGCCTGCAAACTTCAAGATTTTAACAGCAGAGCCTTTGGTGCTGCCTTTGGTGTAGAGGGGGAAGAGCAGTGGGAGGAGAACACCTCACTGGGAACACCAGTACTTCTCCTGGCCTCACCTGCTGTTTCCTGCCTGTCAGGAGGCTGGTTATCCGTTGACAGATGGCAGGGGATGCAGTGAGCGAGCTGGGAAAGTTTGGTGGAGAGGATGTCTAGAATGATGGTTTTGAACGCCGAACTGAAGTCAACAGACTGGATCCTTGCATATGTCCCTGGGCAGTCTAGATGTTGCAGGACGTAATGCAGTGCCATGTTTATTGCATCATACACTGACCTCTGTGCTTGGTAGGCAAGGTGCCGGGGGTCCAGCAGGTGCCCTGTGATGATCTTCAGGTGGGCTAACACCAGTTGTTTCATTATTATGACCACAGACGTCAGAGTCATTCGTTCCTGCGTTGGAGGGTTTCTTGGGGAGCAGGATGAAGGTGGAAGCTTTGAAGCAGGAGGGGACTTTGCGGAGCTCCAAATATCTGTGTGGAAATTGGAGCTTGTTGGTCTGCACAGGCTTTAAGACAGGAGGGGGAGGCACCTTTTGGACCCGGTGCTGCCCTGGTCTTCCGTCTCTGGGAGAGCCGTCAGTCTCTGGCAGCCTGGTACCAGGGGGTGGAATAACGCCTCTGTTTCCTCTGTGACCGTGAGAATGTCCATTGCAGCTATTACCTCACCACCGTGTTAAAGTCATAAAGTACGATACTGTACTGTGTTGTAAAACAAACAAACATGCAGTTCTAAAAACCAATTTTGACAGGAACCCCCTTAATGTCAGAATGAGGCTGGGATGGCTGTTTCTTACACTTC